TGATAAATACATAAGGATCATTGATGAGAGGTGACATAGGTAGCAGACAGCTGGCAATCACTAAAATGTCCTAGTGGGAAGTTTGAGAATTTGAAAATTGAAAAAACTGGAATCGTAAAAGAAATAGTTGCCGCCCAAATATTCGTACTGTGGATTATCAATGAAAATTGCTATGAGAAGACCAGGCCATCGAAGCTATCGATAAGAAAAGGAACACGTGCTTTTATGCATGATCAGTAGTGGCTACTTGATAGGAAGAGACAGATGTTGAGACAGGAACAAGATCGATGACGGTTGCCATACATGGAAGGAGAGATGTCAGAATAAAGACGAGATCGATGACAGTTATCTCATGGAGAAGGACATGTGTCAAGACAAAGAAAAGATCGATGACGGTTACCATACATATGTCAAAGCAAAGACGAGGTCAAGCAGCGGTTACTTAAGAAAATTGAAAGATATCATAAAGATGACGAAAAAGATAAGATCGATGGCAGTTAATGGACAGATGTCATAAAGACAAACGGTGAAGATGAGATCAACGCCGATTATTAGATATAATCTGACTTATGGCATTAAAGGACGGTTATCTTGGTCACAATATAAATACCATCCGATAGCCAAAAAAACCGCCCCCCCTCCTCCCCCCCCCCCCAACACACAATCAAAATGCTATCTTTCAATTATCTTTACTTTCCTACACTGTACTTTTAGTTTCCTTAGCTATAGTCATCTATGTTTTCAACACATTAGTTCTGTAGCATGGTATCGATAGAGTTCGAATGTAATGCTGCCAGTCAGTAGCTGGTCAGATCAATTCGAATTGTTTATAAACTGTACTTTTAGTTTCCTTAGCTATAGTCATCTATGTTTTTAGTACATTAGTTATGTAGCATGGTATCGATGGAGTTCGAATGTAATGCTGTCAGTCAGTAGCTGGTCAGATCTATTCAAATTGTTTATAAAGTTCGAAGTTCTTGCTGATCGGATCTTGTCACAACTTGAATCTGTATTGTTTGATCGAAATAAATTAGTTCTTTGTTCTCGCCTGGATATCTCCTGTTCGGAGTCGCCACAGAACCCTGTCTCCTCTCATTAAAAGCCGAAAAATGACTTTCGGTGAATTATATTTCATCATGGGATCAATTCCGGTGAAACAGTTGGCCATGGATTTGGTGTCGGCAAATTTGGATGGGTGATTTGAGTAGAGGGTGGTTAGGTCAAATGCCCAATACCAACCGAACGGAGCTCTGATATCACTATTAGTTTGCGAAATAGATGTGCCAGTGTGTGTATAGTGTTGGCTGTTCATGACAAGGAACAAGGACCAAGAGAATATGGTTTTTATTGAGTGAGAAATGGTTGCAAGGTTAGGCTATGGGAATCGTCTTAGGCTGAAGGGTGTCGCTGTCTTTTAGTTGGTGTCTTCTGTTGGTTTCTTCTATACTCTAACACGAGCACCATCAAACCTATTTAATATAGGCGGATTTCACTGCCATACTCTTGTACAACAGGTAAAGACACGGGCTTCGTGTCTTCCTTTTTAACCATACACTCTTTTACTTTTATCCAAGATTTTTTCTACGAAAGCTCTAAGCAACTCCACACATTTCAACCATCGTCTGAAGACTAGATATTTTGTAGAATTATTCTACATTTCTATCATAAATGCTTCTCAGAATCTCAAACTTGGCTTGTGGTAGTGCCTTAGTAAATATGTCCGTGACTTGATCTTTGGTATTGCAATATTTAAGCTCGGTCTCTTCAATACTTTGCACTTTGCGTATAATTATCCATAAGCTTCTGCTTGTTATAGAAGCCTAGAAAGGAGAAGAAGCTAGGTGCTACCTCTATTTGAAGAGTTAAGAATATGCTATAAGTCTACATATCTCAGTGCTGAAATATTATTAGTGGAGTTTATTACCATTAGTTAATAGGGTGTTAAATAAGGGTAGTCAGGATTTTAAGTGTCTTTCTATGTTCTATAAATAGAGTCTGTATGTAGTTTTTATTTAAGTCAAATAAATAGCCACTCCATAATGCTACCGAAGAGTTTTTAGGATGGTCTCCTCCCATACACATACATAATTTGCCCAATTAGGCACTGTTTTTAGACAGATTTGGCATTAGAAGTGAGCGGTTATAGGTTTCGTACATATTACATCTAGAACCTAAACCTACCTATTAGAACAAGCTCCTCATTTTTTAGAACCTAAACCTACCTTGCATATCCTAGAACTTGGAACCTGGTTCCTACCCTGCCATAGATTCTAGAATCGGTTCCAGGATCTACCCAGGTTTCACCTGTATTATTGATAGCATGATTGCAGTGAATCATCACCACTTGCCATTATAATTTACTGACCACAACTTATATTTAAACACATGTAGAATATGAAATACTAACAAAGTAAAAGTCACGGTCATAAAAATTGAAGCTTAGACTAGTGGTTCCAGATTGTACACTTATCATCGAATGCCATGGAATATTACAGGTCATACGAAAAGGTGGATCAAGAAAAACACAAAAACTTGTTCCAAGTTCCACCTACTTAGAACCTAGAACTTACTCGTCGAAACAGGTTCCTCAATTTTTTGAACCTGAAACTTACTCTGTATACCCTAGAACCATGCTCACCCCTATTTGGCATATGAAATTCCTTCTTCCCATTTTCCAAAAACTTACTCGTACGATGCACAAGCTTTCATACTAGAAAAAGCTGGTGGGCTCTTATGTGAACACGAACATACGATAGTTGTCCTACAGGACAGAGCCAACACGAGCAAAAACAAAAGATTTTAGTTCAGCCCTGTAGATCCAGCTGAGAGTCGGATTCCATCGAACCAAATCTTGGGATGGACATGGACCATATTCATGTGGATGACGTTAGAAATTCAGAATTTCTCTGTTTTCTTTATGACTAAATTGTTAAAAATAGTCAAGAAAGTCCCTCGCATAATAATTTTCCATATTGGAGGGGTACTCAAGATGGAAGAATGAATCAGCTTAGTTTCCTAGCAGTATAAGTCGACAAAAGGCACTATGGAGATTAAATCAATAAACAGAAAGAAAAGCAGACCAATCAGTCGTCCTTTCGATTTCCTCAATCACTTAAAACGTTAAATGAAGATCTAACCACGTAATTATTGTCTTATGTATTGAACAGCGAGAAAATATTGCATAAAACTGTGTTGCCAACTTGGCAAAATCACAGTCTATTCATCGGGCGACACGTGGCTCCCAGGCCTACCTTGTGTCAGCAAGCCAAATTTCAAAGTTTTAGGCGGGAGTCTCTCTCTTCACTTCCACGGTCTCTCTCTCTTCACGTTCTGCTCTCTCTCTCTCTCCCTCCCGACTCACGCAACCCTTCCGACTTACGACCAAGCTCTCCTCCGACGAACCACTCCTCCGCCGTCTGACGAACCACGCCACCGCCTTTGCCTCCGCTTCCGCCTCCACCTCGAAAGGTAAAGATTTTCCAATCATTTTTGCATTCGTTTGTAATTTTGGGGATATATTATTTTGGTGGTTTTTTTTTCTCTTGACAGTGACGAATCTGCTCTCTCTAGTCCGACGAGCCATGCCGCCGCCGCCGCCGCCTCGTCTTCGGACGATGCTATGGTTTCGGTAAAGAAGAGGGCTAGAAAGTGTGCGGACGACCCACAAGAGTTCAATCTCCAAACTCATTGAGGTTTCACGAGTTCATGCCTTCTGAATGTTTGCTGAATCGTGGGCAGGCCGTGCATTTTCTTTCTAAGTGCATCGTGCCTCTGAACCAAGCCCACGGGGTTTTTCCATTGGAGGAGGTGACGACCTTCATCATCTTTCGTGCTTTTCTCTCGTTACAACTTCGTTTTTGGCCGCTTCAGAGCATGTTCTTCGTGTAATTACTTTTGCTGTTTGAATGTTCTTCACTTCCTAGTCCTGCCATCGTTTGCTTTTGCTTCGAATTTGTTCTTCGTGTGATTGCTTGTGCTGTTTGAATATTCTTGACTTCCTAGTCCTGCCACTGTTTGTTTTTGCTTCGAAGGGATATGCGGTTTCAGCTACATGCAGGTGGCGCGTCCTTCGTACTTCGATGGTTCCATCAAATTCTTGCTGTTCTTTTCTCTTTTGGGGGTTGTTGGGGGTTGTCCGGAAAGAGTTTGGTGATTAAGACTCGAGTACTCTTTATGTTAGCCAAACTTTAGCATTGAAGAAATTGTTGTTCGGCTAAGTTCGTATACCAGAAATTGAAATCAAACGTCAGGAAAACTAACCTGAAAGCAGTACAAATAAATAAACAGAATGTTGATCCGAGCCCAACGAAGTAACGTCGTGTCCTTAAGACGAATTTGGCTCCTCAATTAGTACTCGAGGATATTGGACAATCGTCTTCCAGGATAGAACGGATCTCGTTCCTCTGAAGTGGTACGTATTCAGAGTACTCCTTTGAATGCAATTTTGCATAGACAATTGTAGAGAATGAATGTGTTTCAGAAATGTCAAAATGCGAAGAAGATTTTTTCGGAAAAAACCGACTGCAATATATAGTCACGGTTTAAAAAAAATGAAGAGTCACGAACGAACCGAATTGTCTCATTCAGTCATCTTCGAAAAGTCATGAACTAGTCGGTCGGTTTATTAACGAAGAGTCACGAACGAACAATGTTCGTTCAAAGAGAAAATTAACTTCCAAGAACCGAACCATGTCCATTCGTCCAAAAACAGAACAGACATCAAACATATTTGTTCGAATAAAATAAAAAAAATTTCGAAAACAAACATGTCTATTCGGTCGGGAAAACAAAACCGATCGCGGGATGGGGAAACCGACCCAGCTTGACGTAGGTCCTCTCTCTTCCACAAAAGTGGGGTACCCCTTGGGGCCCAAACCCATTTGAGAGGCTCAACTATTTAAACCCATCTCCCATCTCTCTTCTATTCAACGTGAGACTCCTCCATCCACACCTCTTATTCACTTTATAAGGGATTTGTACCCAAAATTCCAACAGAAATATCGAAAACACTTTTGAATCTCTATGGCTGGATTGTGTTCTGTTTATGATGTGTGAGGACTGAAAGAACTCATGGGGGCAGAAGAGTCGACATTTTCAAATTCAGCTTACGTGCAAACCAAAGATGTGAACATTATCCAGATAGTTGGTAGTCGATTTAACAGGAACATATTATAACCAATGTCCTAACAATTTGTATTGACAAAATCTGTTTAATTTAGTAACTAACAAGAGTTGATTTTACTGGTTGCAGAATAAATTGCAAGGCATCCCTTTAATTGAGCATGTTACCAAAATGTCGAGTAGATGTGGTAGTTTAAATTGCAAAATCAACAGAGCACTGAAATGTGACATACACAGTCATGGGTTTTGTTTGAGTAGTTTTTACTCCGAACATGCGCATTTGTCGGCCAACTTATTTTTTTAGAATTTTGCTCTGGGGACAATATTTTAACCGTTGGCATTAGGTAAAGCAATCTTCTAAGCCTATATATAGGCACGGGCAGATATCCTGGTATTTGAGTAAATTGAGTGAGATAAGATGATACCTCACTTCCTTACAACTTAACTTTATGGTTGGCTAATCCTTTAATGAGACATCAGAGCATTTTCTTTTGAGGTTTTGGTGTTGGCATGTTATCTTTCAAAAGCCTCTTATGCTAGCTTTCATGTGTTTACATTTAATTGGCCTTCTCTTATCTGGTGAAAGTTTTCCTTTTTGTAGGTTTTAATGTGGATGATATTGCTTCTCTTATTTCTTGGGTGCTCTTTTTCCCTTCTAACTTCTGTCATTCAGCTGTTTCAGTTGTTTTTAGGGTACTTGGGGTTTTGGTTGTTTGGGTGGTGTTTTGGTGTGGGGGGGAATTAAGCATCATTAAGAGTTCTTGATTTTGACACTGCTGAACTGCCCCTCAGCTGAATGCTTGATTAGCACATCTCTGTTTAACATTCACTTCTTGCCTATTGCTTTCATGTTGACTATGAGTTTAATGCAAGCACTGGGACTCTGGAGATGTCTAGTCGCTATGATAAAGAACATTTCATGGCAAATCTATCCTTGTTGTTGCAGTGGTCTCCATACTCAAATGAAGCAGATCTTGTCAGGCAAGCAAGTTACTTCTCATTATTTTCCCCTGTATCCCTTATTGTTATTTATTTTTTTCTTGACAAAACCTCATTCATCTATTGTAAGTACAAGTCTTGCATATTTTATTTTACTTTTTCTCTCTTATTATTTTGGTTTATCATTTCACAGATTTGATTTATCAAAGTCTTGATTGTCACACTTGTTGGCTTTAATATTCTAATAAATCCATCCTGTGAGTTTTGTGATGGGGGCCTGGTATACATGGCCATAATGAGAAAGCAACGAATTCTGTTGGCTTTTGTGGAAGATCAAGATTATGATTATGCTTGCTGTGCTTATGGATTAGCAACTTTCATTTCCTTCTTTTGGTGCAATCCCTATTATTTTACTATTGAGCATCTGCAGTTTTTTCGAATGATATTTTGACGGTCAAGTAGTTCTGGTCTGGTTGATTAGCTTTCTGATTTGAACACTTCGTCATGGCTATAGTGACAAGTGCAATTCTGGAAAAGTTAGCTGCTACTTGTCAAACAGTCTGCTGACCTGGCTATCTTGGGATTTAAGAGAGAAGTTGCTAGCTAGAGACATTTTTTTATCTGATAATTCATGTGTAGCTCTTAAGAGACATTGTACAATTGCCGGAATCGTATTGTGTTCAAGTCTTAAATAAATCATTCCGTTCTTCTTATGGTAGTTTGATGACATTGGATCTCATGGTACAAAAATTATTATTTATAATTTGTGGTTGAATGATGTTGGGAAAATGGAGTTAGACTTTGATGCCGATCCCCAGGTTACAAGCTTCCTATCCATTGTTCTTCCTAATGCTATTTATTTTCATCTTATTCTCCATAAATTGACTACTTTCGAACTTCTAATGGAAGGACATCCGTATTAGTGGAGGTATTAGGAAAGTCGAATCACTTCCTGCCTGGAAATCAGTAAACGAGCAGCACATCGCTAATCAACTCCATATTCTCTTCGGGTAAGTTGTATTGTTCTAGTTGAAGAAAAAAAAAGTTTTAATTCATCTGTTTTGACAGTTTTGTGGTTCCTGTCTTCGTTCAGCTGTGTAGCTAAATTAGATTCCCATTTGAGGCCTCTCGTTGGAGAGGAAACTCATCTTGTCTTGACATATGGTATTGGAGTATTGTGGCTAGGCTTATCTCTTGGGGAGCATTACTTTTTTAATTGAAAGAAATTGTAATCGTACTTTATTTTCACTGGTATTTTTATCTTAACAATCGGATGAAAAATAAAATTATTATCTTGCAGGTATATGACATCCAATTTGAATGAAAGTACTTGGAGCGAAGTGACCTTTCAAAATAAAAGTTGTAAGTGTGGTAAGCGTGGTAAGCGTGTTGCTGTGAGAATATCGGAATCTTCAAGAAACAAACACAAGCTCTACTGTAATTATGAGGATAAAATATGTGATTTGTTTTCTTGGTGTTTGCCTACAAGCGATGTGCCTTATTCTATCACAAAGGCTCCGCCTGCAATACGTGAAGATGACATGAGAAATGTTAAGTATTTACTTGAGCATTTGAAGGATAAATTCAAGAACACTAATGTGAATGGATTGAGGCATAATGTGTACCATTTAAATGTCCTGCTACTTTTTGTTTGTCTGTTATTTATTATTTTATTTGGACTACTTGTCCAGAGAAAGTAGATGGTTCAAACATTGTGTTGTGCTGGCTCTAATGGACACAATCGCATCATCTTTTTGTGAACTTTCTTCCTCTCTACACAGTGATTGGACGTGCAAGCACCCTCTGCAGGATCGTTGGATATGTAACCGTCTAGGACGCGAGTTGCCGTCACGGTGTTAAGGACCGATAAATAATTAGAACATCTAATAATTTTAGTAACTTTTTTCCAAATCTGTTTGAGTGGTTACTCACTGGATAAGAAAATTGCTCAAGAACCTGAATGAACCACCCTTTTCCCAATCAACAATGGACATGTTATCCAAATGAACCTTTGTCAAAGATTATAGACCCTAGTTTCGATTGTTACCCAAAAATCTGTCATGACCTGTAGTTGTTTCAAAGCTGTAGAAAATACAGAAGCATGAAACACATTGCAGCCGAAATCAGAAAATTAACAAAGTGATGGAAGAGAGAGCACAGTGAATGATCAAAAAGCATATCAAATCCCTAGAAAGTTGAGAAACTAACGAGCCCAGAATTTTCAGATATATTTTATTTTGTTCATTCACTTTTGACATCCTGCAAGCTCCATTGATTGCATAACTGGAGAATTATAAAGTATTCCAAGAACCAATCTGGTACAACCAAACTAATTGAAAAAAAGGATGAACAAAAAAGACGATGCATTTCGTGAGAGTTCATAAGGTAGCGAGGGCAGGTTGTGGCGTTTGCTGCAAAGATAATGGCATGTTCACAGGATTAGCTTGAATCAACTGGCTGAGTAAATAAAAGATTAAGAAAAGTCAAGCTGTTTAATTTATCTATATTAGGAAAGAAAATATTAGGTTCAAGTACAAAGGTACGCAAGTCCTCTTTTACCCTTGGCGATCTTGGTGATGGTTGCCCCATCATTCCTTCAGAGTTTACAATGTTGAGAGAACCACCAAGAGTGGGCTGTAGCTATGCATTTCTCTGCTGCAAAAGTTGTAATTGCTGCATCTGAAGCTGTTGTTGCTCCCTACCCTTTAATTGCCGTACATGAATTTTTACAAACTGAACAGTCAAATACTCAAAATTTCTGCATGTTCAGGGAGTACCGTCCCATGGATGAGCGGAAAATGGTGTAGGAACTGTGGACCAAAGAAAAACCTCAATGTAAGCTGCAGCAGCATCAGAATGCTTCGCATTTGTCCTTGCAATGAAAATGTCCCAGAAGACAGACCACCACTCAAAGAGAAATAATCCTCCTGGTGCATCAATAGCTACACATATAAAAAGCTAAGTAATTAGCACAAAGTAGACCATGATTTTAAGAGATCATATATCACCATCTTCACAGACTAAAATACACAAGTTCGACTTCAAAGAAAAAAGAATTACCTACCGGGTCAGTGGCAACTTTCCCTTCTGTCATAAAAGCTTTAGCAGAAGCATGCAATTTTCTCTTCAACATATATTCGTGTATGTATACATCAAGCCTGAAGGAAGAAAAGTGCAAGACCGAAACAGAGTGCTCATTAACAAAGCGCTCCCTTATAGAAGAAAATTTAATGAACAAAGAAGATTACTTTGCCAAATATAAACTCTCTCCCTCTCCCTCTCCCCCTCTCTCTCTCTGTCTTTCTCTCTCTAATTGTCCAGAAAACTCATGATTGAGTCAGCCCTGAGCAGGTATCCAATGCCCACTGCGATTAGCAAATATAAACAGAGAGTGACTTGTGATTGAATTGCATTTGACAGTGAGTGCTGCAATAATGAGAGCTTAATGTTACTCATCTCAACTCTTTGCAACATAATCAAGTCCTTTGGTTTCATGGCCACCACTTTTCAGTTCGACAGAGTTAAATAACATTGTAAGCAGATGACTGCACTTGAACTCCAGCAGATGGAAACAACGGATATTTGCAATCAACTTCAGAAAGTTGAGTATTTCAAAATTTACAAACAAATCAGAAAAAAAAAATAGTTTAGCTCTATTCCGCTGATAAAGGAAGCAACTTTCATTCATCCCCTCCTCCCTCCACATAAGCAAGCAGAACAAAAGTCCAACATCAGCACAAAAGTCTTACTCGCTCTGCCCCCATGAATTTGAAAATGTCGACCCCTCTGCCCCCATGAGTTCTTTCAGTCCTCACACATCATAAACAGAACACAATCCAGCCATAGAGATTCAAAAGTGTTTTCGATATTTCTTCAATACTAAAGCTTGGCTAACATAAGAGTACTCGAGTCTTAATCACCAAACTCTTTCCGGACAACCCCCAAAAGAGAAAAAAACAACAAGAATTTGATGGAACCATCGAAGTACGAAGGACGGGCCACCTGCATGTAGCTGAAACTGCATATCCCTTCGAAGCAAAAACAAACAGTGGCAGGACTAGGAAGTCAAGAATATTCAAACAGCACAAGCAATCACACGAAGCACGTATTCGAAGCAAAAGCAAACGATGGCAAGACTAGGAAGTGAAGAACATTCAAACAGCAAAAGTAATTACACGAAGAACATGCTCTGAAGCGGCAAAAAAACGAAGTTGTAACGAGAGAAAAGCACGAAAGACGATGAAGGGTCGTTACCTCCTCCAATGCAAAAACCCCGTGGGCTTGGTTCAGAGGCACGATGCACTTAGAAAGAAATGCACGGCCTTCCCACGATTCAGCGAACATTCAGAAGGCGTGAACTCATGAAACCTCAATGAGTTTGGAAATTGAACTCTTGTGGGTCGTCCGCACACTTTCTAGTCCTCTTCTTCGCCGAAACCCTAGCATCGTCCGGAGACGAGGCGGCGGCGGCGGCGTCATGGCTCGTCGGATGAGAGAGAGCAGATTTGTCACTGTAAAGAGAAAAAAAAAAACCTTCCAAATAATATATCCCCAAAATTACAAACGAATGAAAAAATGATTGGAAAATCTTTACCTTTCGAGGCGGAGGCGGAGGCAGAGGCGGCAGCGTGGTTTGTCGGACGGTGGAGGCGGCGGCAGTGTGGTTCGTTGGAGGAGGCGGCGGAGTCAGAAGGGTCGCGTGAGTCGGGAGGGAGAGAGAGAGCAGAGCAGAGCGTGAAGAGCGAGACTCCCGTCTAAAGCTTTGAAATTTGGCTAGCTGACACAAGGTGAGCCCGGGAGCCACGTGTCACTTGATGAATGGATTGTGATTTTGCCACGCTGACATGACAGTTGTATGTAATATTTCCTCGTCGAACGAGAAGCCACTTGCTTACGGCAAGATAATTGGGGCAGCTCCAATGCTTAGTCAAAAAAAGCATTGATTAATTGTCGCTATTAGCAGCACTAACCCTGGCAGCATTCTTTTGTCACACTGCACAGGACAGCATCCTAGGACGGATTCCATGCCGAATGCATCCTATAATTACAAAAAAAGATGAACATCTTTTCAACATGACTGATATTGACAACAATGAAAAAAAAAAAAAGACCAGCAAATCAGATGTTTTCAGTGACATCCATATACAAAAACTGCGTAGGAATCAAATGAGAAGTAGAGCTTAGCAAATATCACATACCTTGCAATGCCTCTCCTTCAGCATCTGTTTCTCCCAACATGCTTGTTCACAGCAGCTTTGGTGATAGTTCTCTTGAGGAGCAAGTCTAGGAAAAGAAAGAGCAACCTCCCACCGAGCCCTCCCAAGTTGCCGATCATTGGTAATCTCCACCAGCTTGGCAAATCACCGCACATATCTCTCCATCACCTCGCGAGAAAGTACGGGCCGATCATGTCCTTGCAGCTTGGCGAAGTCCCGACCATAGTCGTTTCCTCGGCTGCAATGGCCAAGGAGGTGATGAAAACCCACGACCTAGCGCTCGCGAACCGCCCTCAGATCTTCTCTGCCAAGCACTTGTTTTACAACTGCACGGACATGGCCTTCTCTCCCTATGGCGCTTATTGGAGGCACATTAGAAAACTCTGCATACTTGAAGTGCTTAGCGCAAAACGGGTTCAGTCATTTAGTCATGTCAGGGAGGAAGAAGTTGCCCATTTAGTTCACCGGATCGCAGAGTCTTGTCCAGGCCCTGTAAATCTATCTAAACTGCTCGGTTTATATGCGAGTGACTTTCTTTGCCGGTCTGCTTTCGGAAGGGACTTTTCAGCGGGCGGGGATTATGATAAGCATGGGTTTCAAAAGATGCTGGAGGAGTATCAGGCGCTGCTCGGGGGATTCAGCATAGGAGATTTCTTTCCTTCCATGGAATTCATTCATAGCCTGACCGGGATGAAGTCTAGACTTCAAAACACTTTTAAGCGCTTTGATAATCTTTTTGACGAGATACTGAGAGATCATTCGAATGAAAGCAGAGCCATGGAGGGGCAGAAGGATCTTGTGGATGTTTTGATTGATATCGAGAAGAATGGTTACGGTGACATGCCCCTTACAAGGGCCAACGTTAAAGCCCTCATCCTGGTGGGTAAAAATCATTCTCCTCTCTAGCTTGACATTCCATTGAACTTCTTAGAGAATAGACGGGATCATGGGTTTGAAGAGCATTTGTTAGCGTGTTTGAGCAAGACTATCTAATGATAAGTCCTACTCAACCCAAGCCAAGCGCTGTTTAGCCTAAAGAATTAGACGTGTGGTCTTCTTTTGCCATGACTACAGTTGAGCAACAAGTTAGACCCAACAAAAGGGCTCTTGACTCGCCCGAGCCCCTTCCAATGATCATCCTCCAATAATCCAAAAAGTTTGCATACTAAAGCATATCGACTTGCGTGAAAAAATTTCTAATATGTAGCCCCATGCATGTTGCAGGATTTTTTTGCAGCGGGAACAGATACAACATTCATAACTCTTGACTGGGCAATGACAGAGCTTGTCATGAACCCTAAAGCCATCGAAAGAGCACAAGCCGAACTTCGGAGCGTCGTTGGAGAGAGAAGATACGTGCGAGAGACTGACCTACCTCAATTCCCATACTTGAAGGCTATCATCAAGGAGGTATTCCGATTGCATCCTCCTGCTCCTGTGTTAGTCCCAAGAGAATCCATGGAGGAAATTACCATTGACGGATACTGCATTCCGGTAAAAACGCGTTTCTTCGTTAACGCTTGGTCAATAGGGCGTGATCCGCAATCCTGGGTTGATGCCGAAGCATTTCTACCAGAAAGGTTTCTGGATAGCACCATCGACTTCAAGGGACAGGACTTCGAGCTTATACCATTTGGCGCAGGCCGAAGAAGCTGCCCAGCTATTACATTTGGAAATGCCAGTGTTGAGATTGCTTTAGCTCAACTCCTTCACAGTTTCGACTGGCAACTTCCTCCTGGTGTCCAACCAAAAGATTTGGATATGGACGAAGCTTTTGGCATCACAATGCACAGGATCGAAAACCTTGTTGTCGTCGCCAAACCCCGCTTCTCCTAGACAACGGGGAACAACCAAGAAACCAGCTGAAAATCTCGTCTTCAACTTGGGGATATTATCCATAGGCTGTTGCTTGTTATAGAAGCCTAGAAAGGAGAAGAAGCTAGATGCTATCTATGATTGATGATTTAAGAATATGCTATATGTACTTTTATGTTATGAACAGTCAAATATCGTTGGTGTTGAAATATCTTTAGTAGAGTTAATTAGCATTAGTTCATAAGTGGGTGTTAAATAAGATAGAGGTGTTTCAAGTGTCTTTCTATGTTCTGTAAATAGAGTCTCCATGTAATTTTCCATTTAAGTTAAGTAAACACATATGCTTGCTTCCAAGTGTCTTTCTATGTTCTATAAATAGAGTCGCCATGTAATTTTTCATCTAAGTAAAGTAAATAAACATGTATGGTTGCCCCTCTCTCTTTCTCTCTCTCGAACTTGGTGGCTTCTACAATCCCCCAAGTATCATTTCTAGGGGATCGGTAGCTGCTAGATCCAACAAGAACAAATCTCATCCATCGATTGCAAACTTACTTAGCTTTTGTGTGATGATACTTCCTTCAAGGTTTACAACAAAATGCATGTGATTACAAGTTACAACCAGGAGATTGGTCATCTAGGGGTCTGTTTAGTAACGTTTCTGTTTTTCTGTTCTTTTGTTCCCTGGAACAGAAAAAGAACAGAAATCCGTTTAGTAACGTCAGTTAGTTTTTTCATTCCCTGGAACAAAAAAGTGGCCAGGGAATAGATTTAGAACAGAAATAAGAAGTAAAAAATATCTACTTTTCTATTTTTGGAACAAAAAGGAGAAACAATAGAGAAACAAGATCAGCTCTATTTCTTTCACAAGATATTCTCGTACTAAACCCTAAACCCCAAATCCTAAACTCTAAAACCATAAACCTTAATCCTCAAACCATAAATCCCAAAACCCTAAACCTTAACCTTCAAACTCTAAACCTCAATACCCAAACCCTAAAACCCATAACACTAAAATCAAAAATCCGAAACCCCAAAACCCAAATCCCTAAACCTTCTAAACCCCAAATCCTAAACCCAAAAACCCGAACCCTAAAACCCAAAACACTAAACCATAAACCCTAAAACTCCAAACCCGAAACCCTAAAATCGTAATTCCAAACCCTAAATTCTAAAATACTAAACCGCAAAATACTGAATCCTAAACCATAAACCCCAAACCCTATAGCCTAAATCCCAAACCCCAATACCCAAAACCCTAAACCATTAAGCGCCAAACCCTAAACCCAAACCCGAAACACTAAACCCAAAACCCCAAACCCGAAACTCTAAAATGTAAACCCCAAACCCTAAAATCTAAAACTCCAAACCCTAAACCTCAAAACCGAAATCCTTAAACCCTAACCCCAAATCCTAAAATCCTACACCCTAAATTGCAATTTCCTCTACCACCACTTGGTATTTGCTTTGTCTATAAGGAGTAATTTTCTTTATGATTCTATTAAGGTCATCCAATTCTATATCATAATATATTCTTATTCTATTTCTAGTCCAATTTTATCCAAACATGAATTGTTAAGTCTCCACCGATAATTTTATAATTAAATAAAAAAATTGGGAGTATAAATTTTTAGTGTCCTACCAAACGCATTTATGTTTTTTTTCTATTATAGTGAAGTCCTCTACTGGATGTAGCCCTAATTTAAGGGTGAATCAGGATAAAACATTGTGTCCCGATTTCTTTTTATTGACGCTGCAGGGTGAATCTGAATGATGTCACGATGACGCTCGGCATAATTTCCTTCTTTCTATTTTACGGTTCTCTTTAGGAGTTCTCGAGGGGCTTCTATGGTCCTCTAGGGTCCGTTTAGTAATGTTTCTGTTCCCAAAAATAATTTCTATTCAAAAATAGTTTTTCTATTTTTATTCCTTGGATAAGTTTCTGAGAAAAAAATGCGTTTAGTAACTACACAAATTTCTATTCCTGAAGTAGAAAAAGAAATTCTGTTCTTTTTCAGGAAAAGAAATTTTGTGTAGTTACTAAACGCATTTTTTTCTCAGAAACTTATCCAGCGAATAAAAATAGAAAAACTATTTTTGAATAGAAATTGTTTTTGGGAATAGAAACATTACTAAACGGACCCTAGAGGACCATAGAAGCCCCCCGAGAACTCCTAAAGAGAACCG